CTGTTAGTAGTAGTCGTATATGTGAACGATCCTTCGCAGTAAAGCACTGCGAAGGATCGTTCACATATACGTCTCATAACCGCAGTTCATACATATGTTTCATATGTTTGTTGTTGTTTGTTAGTAGTAGTGTTGCAACAATTGAATCCTGGGAGGTCTAATTGATTGTTGAGTTAAACAAACTTGGGTGTATGTGAGTTATGTTTATCTAGGTTTAAAAGATACCAGATAGATAAATTACCTGTGAATAAAAATAAACAAAGATAGTGTACCTTTCCTTTTGTTCCACTAATATGAATAATAGACAGCTTATCTAGATCCTCCATCTATGAACAAAGAACCATTCTTTCATTAAAAATTTAAAGGGGCAATGGCCACTATCATATTCTTTGCAATCAACATCTGTGAGTGAATATAAAATTTCAGTAGTTCCCTAAGTAGGTGAAAATTTAATGTCACCCTTCATTATAATTGCAATAAAACTATCACTGTAAAATGCAAAGAGCAAAAAAGTAAAAAAACAAACTTTGAAATATAAATTAGTTATTAACTAAACTACACTTGTGAGAACTTTTAGTATAATTACTAAGGTGATTATTGGGATATGCCTACTCTGATTGGTTGAGGATTGTGTCATATCTTGCTCTAGTCACCTTGTGCAAGGTGATAATGGCAGGAAGTGAGAAACGCAATACAAGACAATGCAGTTGCAAAGAGCACAAAAGATGCTAAAAGATGAGCAGAACACTTTCAAAAGAAAGAAATGAAGCTTTTACTGTTCCAATAAAATAAACCCGTTTTTAAAACTGCTGGCTTATCTTGATACAATTGTAATGAAATATGCACAATGCTTTATTTACAGATTTTATGACAGAATTTGATAGCACCTGAGCAATTAAATTAAAACGATCATTTGCCTCGGGCTCAATGAACATTGTTGAATAAACTCCCTCAACTTCATTTCAGGGATTATTCAACAATATTCACTTCACCTTAAGCAAATAATTGCTAAATAGTTAAAAAACTGACAATTACGACACTACTTCAGGTTGATGTCAGTTGATCTATATGCCCCTCCTAAATTTTTAATTAATACTGCCTTTGTGAAAATTTAATTTTCCTAATCAACTTTTATTTGGCAGTTTGCTCATTTTTTTTGGCTCTGTTTTTGTTTTTCTGATAAATTATTGTAATTAATAGTACAAAGTACCTTATTGAACCCAATCAAATCTGACTACTGTATTTGAGATATTCGAGTTGTTCTGTCAAATGGTTGTTTTAATTGAATAGACTGACACTCTCATTAGACAAATCAAAAATAATTAAACCAATTCAATTTTGTGCAATCAATTGGGGAGACAGTATGTCGCTTACTTAACCAGCTTCAGCGCGCATCACTATAGTGCCTTGGTGTTCCCAATCGCGTTCTCTAATAGTTTTCTCTCAGGCTTTATGTAACAACTAGATGGTACTTTTTTATTGTAATAGCTTTCACATTTGAACCCATTCTTCACTCTCCTCACCTAAGAGGCCTCACATCTCACTTTCAAATAACAATCACTCATTTCGTAAACAGGTGATTACCCGCCAAAATTTCACATTTGTCACGAAAGTAAAATAACGTCACGTGAAATAATAACAATAATGGCGAAGGCCATGCAGCTGAAACGGTTTCCCGAGCTTTCCACGTTAAAAGGAAAGTACGAACAACAATGGCGAGAGCTTCTAGAATGCTTCTGACACGGTTTCCCGAGCCTCCTATCCACCTAAAAAAAAGTACGAACAAACAACTTGCGGGTAGTTTAAAAAAACAAACAAAGGATGCAATGTATGCAGTAGAACTAACTTTGACCCCAGCTCGTTCAGTGAAGCTTCTCATCTCCGGTAAATTATTCTGTGCAAGCCGTCCCCGTGTTTTTCGGATTTGCTCCAGGACTTGAGCATTCGTTTGAAGAGAGTTCAGTTTCTTCACAGCATCCTTCAAAGAAAGTTAGCAGATTCAGTCAAAGATGGTAAGTAGAATTAACGCAATGAGGACAAATTCAAAACAATAACTTTGACCGCCTTTCAGTTTTGCAAATTGCAGTCTTGGTTGCTTCGCTGTCTTCACAAAGGCAAAATAACCCCCAAACCAACTTACTTCATAAGTCCTTTGTTGCATTATTTCTGCTGACAGCTGTACCGCAGTGGTAAAGCGGCGAGAAACCATATATTTACAAAGTGACACCATCAAACTGTTCCAGACAACTTGCTAACCCCGGTTCACTTCACGTGTTTGATGCAAATGTTGCGCAAGACTAACCGATCAAACAACAAGAGACTGGGACTGGCATGTAGGACTTGGTTTCCGCCGTAGCGCAAGGCTTTCCTACTCGAAAACAGCTGCTACCGAGACTAAAGCTTTGTGCATCCAGTTCAAAATTTCTCATCAAACATGAAGAGGAGCATAATCGAGTGATTTGTTAAAAAAGAGAATATTTCTCTGCAGACCATCTCTCTTTGATATAGAAATAACCAAGACAAGGATGATTGTCAAGAAACCAAATTTCAATAAGAGTTTCCTTGCTATTTATCACCCATCCCATCATGGCAACCGGTCAAGTTGCCCGAAAGGCGTCTCACCTGAAGTCAAGTCCCCCGGAGCCTAAGTCATGCCACCTGTAATTTTAGTCATGTCGCCCGTAATTTTAGTCATGTCGCCCGGAATAAAAAGTGAAGTCACTCGAAGAATAAGAGATCAGACTTTTAAAAGACCGTAAATTGGCCACAAAGTTGAAGATGTGGACTTTCTCCATACCGCTTTTCTCTACAGAGCCACTCATAACAAACAACGGTCCGGAAAAATCGATTCCAGTATTAGTGAAGGCAGGGTTCTCTTCCACGCGAACACGAGGCAAGGGCGCGGTCGTCTAGATGGCATAATAGAGATATTTAGCAACCGCGTTTATATACGTGAAACGTGAACGACAAGAGTGACCACGTGACGTTATTTTTCCCGCCTTTTTTCACGTTTGCCGTTTGCGCTCTGCCATTTCAACGTGAAAGTAACCTGTTTCGCGTTTACCGCGTAAGATTTCTTCACTTTCTACATCTACATCTACTTTATTACTCTTCAACGTTATTACACAACAAGAAGAGATAAAAGAATAAAAATATAAACATAGCTAATAAAAGTCGCCCGGAGCCTGTCATGTCACTTTTTCTGTCTTAGTAAAAGTTAATTGCCTGAAAAAGGGCACCAAAACTATTCCTTGTAAGTCATACAAGAGTGCCTTCAAATCCTCCATGACGTAAGCTCAGGCGAACCTAAAGCAGCAAGGTTCACGTTATTTTACGTGATACGTGGAAGGGCAAGCTGACGTCTGCGGTTTCACGTAAAAGCGGTGCCAAATCTCTCTTATGTTGTCCCTCTATCTACTTGCAATCCACGTATTTCTAAAAGAATCTTGCGATTGACTTGTCTTCCTTTTACAATCCAGAATCTAGACCTTAGTTCCTCCAAGGATTCTCTCAAACTCTGAATGATCCACTAATATTGGTTTTAAATTTCTTACGAGGTGGGTGAATGGGCAAACGGATCAGCAGATTCTGACAATGATTTAGCCCGGATTTCGGATTCCGAGCGTAAATTCATCGATTTGCGGATCCTGCAATATCGCAGCGGTTCGCAGTTTTCGTCGATCTTTTGGGCCTGGTGTTAGGATTTTTCTCGTGAAGACTACTTCTTCCTTTCTCAGAACTGAGTGAAAAACGAAACAGTAGGTTGCTTAAGAGCACTATCTGTGCTATTTATCTCTATAGTTGGCGCAGTGTATTGAGGGCCTTAATCTTTTATTACAAAGACATGTTAGAAAAGTTAACGGTGCAAAGAACCCAGCAACTCTCAGCTTTTTCGTCGTGACCGAGAGAACCCAGTTAAATGCAGCGTATGCGTAGTAAGTAAAAAAATTGCGACTGAATGGAAAATCGCTTTCTCTGAAATATGCCTATTTCTCGAGAACCACTCATTACAATTTCACGAAATTTGGCACGAAAATACTTTAGGAAATAAGTAACTGGAGTAATGAAAAAATTGATTTTGAACAAATAAAATTCTAGATAATCGAGTGAAACTTCATAATTAAAAGATTTCTCTGTTAAATTGTTAGCAAATTGGTGTTAACTTGTATCGTTACAAACTAGTTGCATGCAAATTCTGAAGAAAATCTAATGACTAGATTTTCTACAAAAACCAATTTTAAAGGCCTATTTATAGTTATTCATGTCACCATGGCAACGGCACATACGTCAGCTTAACTATCAAAAAAACAAAGTTTGAGTTAACTTGCTTGCTGCCAGTTTTGGCGACCGAGAGATCAACGGTTTTAGAGAAAATGGTGAAAGAAACACAGGTATCAAAAACTGTGTTCAGCCACCTTAAAGCGAACAGTCAACTTTCAGAGGCAGTATTTTCTACTGACAGAAAAAGGAACATTTCATGTTTATTTATTCCATGATCAGTAAAAATACACATACTGTAGATAATAAAAAAAGAAAAAAAAGCCTGAGCCTATAATAACAGATACATAAAAGGTTTCAGTAAGAAACAGCTTCCTGAAACTTCACGTTTTAAGTAAAAAGTGACTGGAAAGTTGATCAGGATACTTTTCCTTGGTACTTCTTATACTATTAATTTACAAGATCTTGCACTTTGGAGTGACTTCCATCGATTTAACGTACTTGTTCAACTGTGAAAGAAAAAAACAAAAAGAAGGGCTATTAAAACCCTGTACTATCAAATTCTCATCACATTCTGTAATTATAAAATGGAAATATCCTGAGCTTGCAGCCAGCATGTTGACTTCTTCTGTCAATTCCTTTCACATTGCCAAATGTTTGAAATATTACTATAGACCTCTTAAATTGTTATTCTAAGAAGTGAGATCTATCAGATTGAACAGCTGCAAGAAACAATGTTTTAAATGAAACTTCAACTCTGAAACTTAAAAACTTACTGTATGTTGAAAGGTCAATCTCCTCCGGGAGTTCTCCTACATTCACTTCAAAGCGATCTTGGACTTCATTCAATATCTTAGCATCTTTTTCGTCTGAGACAAAGGTTATGGCAAGGCCTTTCGTGCCAAAACGTCCAGCTCTGGCAACCTTTTAAAAACAAAATCATCACAATTTAAAAAAAAAAATGTTCTCACACAATTATAATTACACTTGACAGAGGTGCATCATTTCACTATATGTGGAGAGCATTCATACAAACCCTAAAGTTATAAAGGATCAAAGTTGGCTTTTATGAAAAGACAAATGATATTCTTGCTAACAAACCCTGTGAAGGTAGGTGTCTGAATCCTCTGGCATGTCATAGTTAAACACAATGTTGACTCTTTCGATATCCATTCCACGACCAAACAGATTGGTGGCTACCAGCATTCTCTTGGAGAAATCTTTGAACTGTTTGTAGCGTGACAATCTGCAAATATAGCAATGAAATATTCCGTATCAAAACCTTCTCAGGGAGGCAAAATTTAATTTAAAAAAAGTCAGAATGAAAAATGAATCTTAAATTCAGATATGGTGTCTTTCAGACTTGCTTTAATCAGACAAAGAAAAGAAAAGCAAGGCAGCTCAACAGGTACACAAAGTAATAAGAACTGGCGGCCAGTTTGATCCTCTTGATGTTATCTCTTCTGTGACTGTAAATGGGGAAAAATACCTGCTCAAAACAATGTATTTTCCAACTACCTACAAGGCTCAAAACTGACAGTAGCCAACCAGCCACAGACTAGTAGAAATTCAGTTTTGGTGTGTGGTTTTCAATTTCCACTGGCTAGTAAACAAACTGAAATTGTTGTTAACATCTGTGTCACATACTGTATAGGCGGATTCATGCTGACATCATTGTTTACATTTTTGCTCCTTTGCATATGGCTTTGTGTAAAGAAGGAAGCATGTTAGATACAAATTGACTTCAGGCAGCCAAAGAGCTAGAAAACCTTAGTACATGGTGAAAATTTTAGCTCTTTTGGTGTAATATTCTAGGAGAAATAGTCCATCAAAAACTGCAAAATTTCTGGCTGGCAAAAGCGCTAATGAGCTCATACATTCTATGTAAAATTTTGAGTTTTTAAACCCGTGTTGCACAAAAAGTATTCAATGCATCAGGCTCGTATTCATTGGCCGAGTTAATCATACTTTGACCTTTAGATATTCAGAACTGATTTATTTTTAGCTTCATCAGAAACTGAATTGCTTATGCCAATGAGGCAAATATTGTAAACAAGGATTCCCCTATACTGACTCTCACCTCTCTTCTTGTTCCATTCCTCTGTGGATACAAATTGCTGGGAAGTTCTGCTCGATCAGCAACTGAGCAAGGGCAATACAGCGCTGTACTGACTTGACAAAGATGATTACCTGTTAGATATAATGAAATATATGAGGTTCATATATTTTGTACTGTGGTATTAGATACATATGATGCACGATCCTCGCAGTAGATAGCGCTATTTAAGCAATAGCGAAAATCAGACCTGAAAAAAGGCCTGATTTTTTTCAGGTCTGATTTTCGCTATTGCTTAACTAGCACTATCTACTGTGAGGATCGTGCATCATATGTATGATTTCCTGTACAAGTTCATTTACACTACATCAATATCTATAAACATGGACATAGTAAGTGCAGAGTCAAAACTTTGACCACAGATGTTCCAAATGCAGTTAATGCAAAGCTCAAAGTTATACACCAGAAAAACGCCCAAGAAACTTTAAACCAACATCTTGGAATTGTTCTACAAATGGTGACTGCTTGTGAACAAAGAATTAATTTCTTATCATATCCACAAAGAGAGATGCTAATATTTCTCAGTCAATATTGGGAACCTCCCCTTGAAAGGTATTACTTTCTCCATAAAAAATGTTTTTTTCAGAAACCCCAGTCTCAAGAAATATCCACCAATTACTTCTGGGGGATCCAGCTTTATTTCAAGTGACAAAGTATAATCTTGATTGTGTGTTGCTCAATTCCATGACCAGTGCTCTACTTGTCTCAGAATCCCTCTGCTAGCTTAAAGTTTCTCAGAACAATTTTGGATACAATTTGGATCCCAGTCCTCCTCTCCATACAGCAGCTCCTCATAATGACTACAACTACATTCAGATACCTGGTTGAATTCTAACACATCTAAGAGGTCGAAAAGCTTTCTGTTCTTCTCCTGATCTTTGAGTTTGACATAATACTGTTGCAGACCGTGCAAGGTGAGCTTTGTCTCATCATCAACATAAACTTCCATTGGCTGTTTAATAAAGAGAACAGAACAACGTTCTTTACCACAAGAGGGAGTTGGGAAAAAATACTATAGCATCCAACAGGAAGTAAAGACAAAAGAAAAACTCCAAAAAAACAACTTCACAACAAAGACGATTATAATGCAAAACTGAGCTTAAAAACAAATTAACTCCCCAAACATATCAAAATGTTCTACCTATGTGTACTAAAAAGTGAACTACAACAATTTAATTGACAAGAAAAACTAAATGCAGTCTTGGGCATTGTAAATGTCAAACCTGTCACAAGCATGTCTTCATTAACAAAAATCATGAAAATACAAACAACTATACATGCACAAATACAAAGACAAAAGCTACTTTGAAATACAAAGGGTTAGGATCTGACATGAGAAAAGAACAACACAAACATGTCACACAGTCCACTTAGTTACAGCTTGTGGGGCTGGGATCTTGAAGGAGAGGAAACCAACTGACATCAGATGAGGCAGTTGACTTGGTGTAATGGCTGCTGCTCCAGCTTGAGCTAGCTTGCTACACTTCATGATCAAGACTTCTGAAGGTTTGACCACGAACATTCCTTCACCGAACCAAGGTATAATGACAAGCAATAATGGCACCTCCAAGCAGCGAGACACATTGGTTACATAGAACCACCTCTATTTTTCATCCCAAACATACTTGTAACCATCATCAAATAACCCTATGTACAGACTGTAAAATACAAACCAATGAATGACCCACAGCTTATAACCAAGAATGACCAAATCAAGACACACACAAACCAGGACACCTGACCAGGACACCTGACCAGGACTAAAACATGCAGGCACCACTTTCCTAGTTTAACCATTTACACCCAAAAACATGCTCCAACCACAGCTTACTCATCCAAAGCCATCTAGTAATCTCACATTCCATCATTAGTGGAAAAAAAAAAAAAAACTACCAAAAGCCAACCAACGTAAAACAACTCCACTGCAAGGAAGTGCCAATAATTGCCAATCAGCCTTACAGCTGCTTCTCCATCACCTCCTTCATGAGGGTAATGAATGCTCAACAACAGACTTCACAATGGAACTTAGGAGGTATAATTACATCTTGCATAAACTTCTTGCAGACAGGGCGGATCTCTTTGGCTAAAGTTGCACTGAACATCATGACTTGTTTCTCATGTGGAGTCATGCGGAATACTTCTTGCACATCTCTTCGCATATCTGAAAGAGGAAACAGAGGAATTTTAATCAATACCATCCCAGAACTTTTACTTATTAGCCCTAGACCCTGAGCTAAACACAGTAGAGACAAGACTTGAGACCAAACTGTCCAGCAAACTCCCCCTTAGTGTAGGGTAACTTCTTGGGTTTTTAAGGGGAAGTGATCTGAGAAGGCTTCCACTGACAAAAAGGCACTGTACTGGCACTGCATTGTCATTTTGCAAAGTCTCTCCTCTCTCTCTCCTACCCTCTTTAAAACATGTGCTTCTAAAAGTTCAAATATAGGTGTGCATATCAGCCAATCTGGAATTGAAGACATAATTGGCATTCACCACAAAGGTAATACCTATCCAAGAAAACTATGACTATCTCTTTACAAGTATGTTTCGTCTCCTCCAAGAGACAAGGAGAAGTGACCAACAAGATCTCAAACAAATTGACTTCACAGCAACTCTGGGCAGGAGCCACTTTGGAAAAGATTACACCACTTACCAAGCTGTTCTAACATCTTGTCACACTCATCAAGGATAAAGTGCTTGATATGCTTGAGATTCAATGACTTCTCTCGTGCCAGCGCCAATATTCTGCCTGGGGTACCCACTACAATATGCGGGCAGTTGGTCTTCAAGGTCTGCTGGTCCTTCTTGATGCTGATGCCACCAAAAAACACTGAAACTTTGATGTTATTCATGTATTTAGAAAACCTTTCATACTCTTTAGAGATCTGGAAAGCCAACTCTCGTGTGTGGCACATAACCAACACACTGACTTGGCCATCAATTTGCTCTAGCTGCTGAAGTGTTGCCAGAACAAAGACTGCAGTTTTCCCCATTCCACTTTTGGCCTGACAGATAATATCCATGCTCAGGATTGCTTGAGGAATACACTCATGCTGAACTGTGGAAAAGAAGAGAACATCTGTTGAAACTCTCATAAATGCTGTAAAAGCACAAAGTTACTACCTAATAAACAGTAATCTATATTATTTCATTTTTCATCTTTTCTGTTTGCCCAAAATGAGACCTTGAGAGATTTGATTTCCTTTCTTCCTTCCATCAATGAAACATGCGTACCTACCTCACAACAAAAGATCATAAAGTTGTCTCATTAATATTCATTTCAAGCAGTAACTGGCTACATTTTCATCGAGCCGCGATATCCCCATTACATTACATATCGAAACAAGAAAATAAAAACATTGAAAAGACGAGCGACACTAAAAAATTTCAGCTGAAAGGATTTCGATTTTTGCTGCAGGATTTAGGCAAAAGAACATGTCCTTGTTGGCTGTCTTTACCTTCTGAAGGATGTTCGAATCCACAGTCAACGATGGCTCGAAGAAGTTCTGGTTTCAAGAGGAAATCTCTGAAGCCAGAACTGTGGATACTAACATAGGTACCCTTCACTCCTTTCTTTGCGAGATCCTCGGTCGCCTGCGCCTCCGCTGGGGTTTCTGTTTCCTCCTCTTCGTAGTCCAACAATTCGTTTTCATCATTAACTTCGGCCATGATGTAAAGTGCCGCCTTGACAGAAAAGAGCGAAACGCACTTAGTTGGAAAAATAGCTTTCCACGGAGACGAAACCACTTAGCCTTAAAAAGGCCTCTGTGTGCTTTCGAATCACAGTGAACTGAATCATGGATGGGCAAAAAAAGAGACAGAATTTCGAAGGATTTTCTACCTTTAAGATAATCAGGAGTTACAACGACGAAACAACCGATTCAAGATGACGCACAAAGAACGCGTCCCTTGAAATGGATCATGGGATATCGATTGTTGGGTTGGAAGCAATCGCTAGCAGTTGATTGGCTAGTTTTTTGAGGGGGGGGGTTCGACTGATGCAAATATTCTAATTTTTGCAAGAGTTTTAGTGCCTTTTTCAAAAAACTTGACCATGTCACATATCTGACATATTCTTCACTTGGTGATCCATTCATTCTAGCCCATACCTTTTGTTCTGTAATTCGCACAACGCGTAGGGGAAGTACTTTCGATCGAGTCCATATGCTTTGTTATAGTATGTTCACAAAGCGAATTCGGATTTGAAGAGATTTTTGCGCATGGAAACTATGGATACTGATTCCTTGAAAGGAAGTCGTACAAGGAGGTATTCTTATAAGTTTATCATTTCATAGTTCAAGTTACGACTGAGCTCACGTTAAAGTGGGAAAATGCAATTTGGTCAATTGTGAAATTTATTTAATATAGCATGTAATGGCCATGGTACTTATAAGCTTAACTAATCAATCAACCAATATGTTTATTTTTTTGGGATGTCATCGTATCAGTTTTGTTGAAACTCACTATGAGTAGGCTAAGCAAATATGCCAGTCAATAATTCCAAAGCTTTTCGTCAATTATTGCATATTTTGTGGGAATGTGGATGGGATAAAGTTCCTCACCACTAGTTGGACAGTGTTAAATTAAGTATACAGTATTAAGTACACCAAATTTTTAAGTATGTATATGTTGTGGTTCAATTTTATCCTTGGTTTAAATTTTATTTTCCATTGTTTTTGGTTATGGTAATGTATGATAATAGGGTTGAAACAATGGAAAAAAAAATTTAAACCAAAGATAAAATTGAACCACAACATAATTACTTAATTCAAGCATACTCCTATATCATATATTTATATGGAAATGATCCTCAGAAAAATGACCTGCAAGTCTCTAAAATTAGGAACTCATAAAAATATGCATAGGTGGAAAATTTTTTATCTTTCTGAAATCAATCTGTGTCAAAGATCACATGAGTGTCATGTTAATTTCAACCATGCATTTTTGGAGTAGAATTACAAAGGCAAACCACACATCATCCACAATCTGTAGTGTACTTGGGATCCCTCATCCTCTGAACAGCAGAGTGTAGAGTTTAGCACCCTGATTTCACAACTGATCTACAAATCTACAGTATTTTCAGTATTTTGGTTGATACTAATATCGTATTTGAGGTAGTTTTGTTTATTTTTTGTTATTTGTGAACTAGAACTTGCCATCTACCAAGCAAAGTCAGTTTTTGGAAGTCTGAATCACGACTAATTAATGGAAAAACTGTGATCACTAAGACTGTTTGTTATCTTTGAGTAAGGTTCCTTTGTCCCTTTGATTTTATAAATTTTCCAATTGCATGGTAATAAAAAAGAATTAGTAGGCTACTAGCTATATGCGTAGCAACTGCATACTCATCATAATGTGCACACAACTTTGTAACAGTTAGAGTGCAAGACTACAGTGCAGACCATTGCTGGGTGTTTGCCAAAAAACACACAATTCTTAATATGATTATTGGTTCTCTCTACCAAGAAACATAGCTGGATAAAAGTCAGTTTTTAGGAAAACCTTTTAATCAAAAATGATCAGCATTGTGTCAAAGTTAAATGATGGCTAAATTAGATGTACAGTAGTGGACAGACATAATTATACACACAAAGAAATAGATTTGGAAATTATGTATTAGACAGTGTAGAGCCATGATGGTCTGATCTTCAGTATATTTCAGTGTAAGTCAACCCTTTGTTGTTACTAACTCTTTGTACTGTCAGCAATACAATTCCTGACCTATAATGTTAATTTTGACAATTTGGTATGTGATCAACTAATAATCCCCTAATTGATATTTTATCTGATACCCACAGCTTGTCTGCTTGATAATATATTGATTAAATTGTAAGGAGAAATTCTGTCTTGGTCACTCATGGGAGTTAAAGGGTTGATGAAGTGGTATTCAGTCTATGACATGTTTTTTTGTTTTAATTTTTATTTTTTTTATCACAGGTTTCTTCAACTGGGAACGTTTGTTGTATTTGTGTGGTGGGCAGCAGTAATCAAGTCTGTTAGTGCAGTATTCACCTTTATATTTGGTGCAGATTATAGACTTGCCATGTTTGGCAAAAACATAAAAAAGAACTTGTTTCTCCTTGATGACAGTATTGTAATGACTAACAATGGATCATATGGTACACCTCCTAAGAAAGTCAAAGAAACACAGTGGAAGTATCAGGTAATTTTAACACTAAGTACCTAGTGTGTTAGTGATAAAAATAATGTTTTTATTGCATTTGGATTACTATGGGTGTTTTGATATGCATAATGTAACAAAAAAATTTACTTCAGGGTAATTATCTCAGGTTTTATTGCTTATAATTACCCTCTTCACTCCCAAAATCTCATAAATGATTCTACAATAATTTTAAAGTGATGTTAGCTCCGACAACCTCCTAATTTTTTTTTCTTTTTTACTCTCATCTATTATTTGCTTGATATTATATAGATGTCATAGGGAGAAATCATGTCCTGGTCATGCATGGGAAATAAAGGGTTCCCTGGCTTCTATTAGAAGTGAAACTTAATCTGTATCACACCTGTCAAGTGATTTCCTGTCACCTTTCATGAGTGATTTTCCAAACATTCAATGTCTTTGCTGTTATATTGGAAGAGGATAAGAAATGATGAAGTTGGTGGTAAAATTTATGTTAAATTTGTGAACTGTAGCATTTACAGCGACCAAAATCTAAATTCTCAAGTTCAAGGGTACGTCGCTCCAAAACACGGTTAACGAGGTGTTTGGGACAATTTTACTGATTGAAATGACAAACCAAAGTTTACTGTTTGCACAAATCTTTATTCTTGAAAGGCAATCGACCACGAACCACAATCAATGACAAAAATAACGATTATGCTCACAGTCAATCAATCTATTGAACGATCGATCTTAAACTGAAACAACAATACAACGAAGTTCTATCAATCTAATGAAAAGCCGCGGAATACATGATCAAAGAATCGCGTGTCAAATACTGGGCTCTAAAGTCTATAACGAGATTAACAATACAAGTAAAACAGAACAAAAGTTTGGAAACAAATTAAAAGAGTTTTGATGACTGATAAACAGCCCATTGTTCTATCTAAATGATGTGCATTCGCTGACTCACAAATTGGCACAAATTTGGCCTTTAAATCTTAAATCTATACAGATCATTGCAATATTTGTTTGTATATTGTCGCCCAACACTGAAAAGACTAGAAAGGAAAAAACAAAGTTACAAAGGTACTCACATATCAGTCCCGCTTGTGCCAGAGGTTGAGAAAACGAAAGGGCGAAAGTTTACCAAGGCTATTCAAAACTTACGAAGAACTGATTAAAGGGACGCTAAACTTTGTGCGTGGTGACGCTGAAAGGTCCGATTACAAAACCAATAGAAATACAGAAAAACGGATAAGAATTGTAACTATGTGGCTATCTAAGATCATTCTGAGATTAGTGAACCAATCAATAATCAATAAAAAAATGAGCCTTCTGGCTAATGTCCTTAACATGAACTGTTTCAAATTAATTTGTTTCTCTTTCATGTTCAGGAAGAGATGGAAAGATGTCCAGATATCTGGTTCAGATATAAGGTGCAAAATCTCTGGAATTCATCTTTGGAAACTGTGGCCAAGTTTGTCGGAGCAAATGTGAAAGATCTTGTGTTTGTTGCCAATGCCACGTCAGGAATTAATACAGTTTTGCACAGTGTTGATTTTCAAGAGGGGGATGGAATCTTGATAACAAATCAGACCTATGGTGCTGTCCAGATGACAGCTCAGGAAATCTGCCAAGAAAAGAAGGCAAAGTTGTTAGTGCTCAATGTCACATTTCCAACTTCAGACATGACTGGTTCTGTAAAGTACCAAGTTACTGAAATTGTGGAACACTATGAAAAAGTTTTGCAGGAGAACAAAAATGTAAAGCTGGTGATCATTGATGCAATCACCAGTATTAGTGCATTGAAGCTTCCAATTAAAAAGCTATCAGAGGTTTGTCATAAGCACAATGCTTTGGTGTTGATTGATGGAGCCCATGCTCCTGGACAAATCCCACTGGATCTTGAGAGACTTGGTGCAGACTTTTTTTTGGGTAAGTTAGCTCTTTACACCTTAATTAGTAGTAGGAAAAGGGGGTTTCTAGCACATTTTTTCAAAATTGTCTGAAAACCAGGGCAGTTTTGAAAATAAATTCAATTGGCTTAAAACAAGGCAATTTAATGTGTCAAAACAACCGTGTTTTGAAGGACTTTTTAAAAAATGATTTTAATTTTTTATCTCATTTAAAAATGAAAAACGATGATTTCAAGGCAAAATGATTGCCGCAGTTTTTCCTGCAAAAATCAAAGAAAAATAGAAGAATTTTGAGATTACATTGATTCTCAAGACAATCTCAAAATTCGTTTGAACCATCAGAAAAAACTAATGACAATATCTCAGAAATAATCCCAAAAAAAACACATAGAGGCTTATGAAGCATTCTCTTCATCGAATTCCTTCAGGAGGTAGCTCAGTTTTAGGTGGAACAATCTGAAGCTCTTCTCTGACAAATCCTCGCTTTGGTCCATCTTTCAGATAGTAAAGAACAGGTTCTTTTTCATTCACAAGTGCTTTTTCGATATTGAAAACTTTTAGAGACCAGATTGGATCTGTTGCTCTTCTTTGTCCACCTTCTAACTCGCCGGGAGCATAGAGATATCTCACGTTTTTTGAATAGTCAAGTCTCTTTTCTTTCAAGCCAACAGGTCTTGAATAAGAAGTTGAACTCTTTGCGTCAACCACCTTTTCTTTGATTGCGTCAATTGGTTTCTTTCCAGTCAATCTTGTCTCCTCACGATTTAATGCNGGAAGTTGATTCCTCTCCAGTCGAGTCGATCAGATTGTTCTTTAAGAATCTTCGTTATTCTTTGAGGGTTTTTCTCAACTGGATAAAGCGCTCTTGTAATGCACCATTTAAAACATTCATTATCTTGATTTTCCATATTGATTATTGCTTTTTTTCCTTTAAGCGCTTTCGGAAGTTCGATGTAAGAGCTGCCGTTCAAAGGGTTGTACTCTACAAGATGCAAGTCAAGTGAAATGACTCTGTGAAACTCCCAGTTACTTCCATTATTGTTGAATTCTTCAACTCTTTCTTGAATAGTTTGAACGAATCTTTCATACGCTTCGCTTTCATCAGTTGCATTAAGATTTTCAATTGTGTTGGTGTGGAAATAAGCGTCAAGATACTGAACTTCTCCATCCATAGCTCGCCTCTTCATCTCGCAAGAAAGAATCATCTTGAGTCTTGTCTGGCGGTTCTCTCTCATGATTTTCAAAACTGCCGGTTTTGCCTCCTGCATGAATTGATTTGGCCCAAAACCCTCAACTCCATCTATTCTGAATTGTCTTGCGAAACCCCTCAATGCAGATGCTGACTCGTGGGCGCGCCAGCGTCCGCTGTCTCGAACTGCAGCGTTAGTGCTAAATGGATTATTTTTGTAGTTTTCAACGAACTCGTTCCATTCATCCGAGAAATCTGAAGTTGTTGAGCCTAAGCGACTGCGCCTCAATCCAAGCATCTCTTCAATTTCTCTTATTTCTCTTCTCCTTTGTTCTTGCGGATCAAGCGTTAGGGACTGTGTTCTCTGCTGCCCAGAATTTCTTGTTGGTCTGAGAACTGGAGCATTGAAATTTGCTGGAATTGGGTGGTCAATAATGTTTGATATCAACTCAATCAACTCCTGCTTTCTGAGGCTTGAATATTTTTTTAGCCCGAGTCGTTTTGCCTCGGCTTTTAATTCATTAACATTCCAGTTCTCCATTTTTTTATAAAAAATATAAAATATTTATATTTTTATAAAATTTTATCTCAGTTTTTTTTCAGCTTTAGAAAATTATTTTTGGAAATTTGCTGGAATAAGATCAGTGTAGTAATTGTAAAAATCTGCTTTTCTTTTCAAAGTAAATTGTGAAATTGTTTGTTTTTTTTAAGTTTAATACAGAAGTCACTATTCTCGTTAAATCATGAGGTGTTAAGGTACGAAATATTTACCTCACAAGGTAACTAGGAAGAAAATGCATTTTCATTCGTTTTTGTATATCTTCATCCTTTGTTCAGTACGATTTTACACACTTCGGGTTTGAACTTTTCGTGGTGAACACGTGCTGCAGCTTACACGACATATTTCAACTGTAACCGCTGTACTATAAAGTTGTGTGTTCGACCCTCGACGAACGCCATCGAGAGAGCGTCACCCAAAATATTCGCGTGTGCGAAGAATTACGCTCTGAAGATGAACAGCCCATCCGTCTCCTCAGAGGAAGAAGAACGTATGTTTACGAGTGAAGAAGATGATGAAAACATTAATCTCAATGAGAAGCAAGAAGAGATTACCGAAGGAGATGATGAAAACAATTATCTCAATGAGGAGCAAGAGGAGATTCTAAACGAACACATCAATTATCATGAAGAAATGAAATCTTTCATAGAATATTTTCTTGTGGAGGCCCAGAGCGGAGGCATTGAAGCAGCAAGATCCCTTCTCAGAGATAAGCCAAAAAAACCGGAAAGGACGGTAGAATCTTTATTTTCTGTCGTAAAGGCTGGCCCCACAGAAGCGCAAACAAATGCTTATTTAGAAAGTCGGCGTCCGAATTCAACACCACCAAGCGTTAGACTTACTGCGATAATTGCCATCCCTGAAACTTGGGAAGCTGCGGCCACTTGCATAAAAGCGGTCAACGCGGCAATCGATCGCTCACAACTACTCGAAGAAAGAGTTGGACTTGGTTTTTTTATGGAAAAAGGCGAAGATCTTTTCAGAGATGCAAAACTTCTGGGCAGAGTAAAGGGAACCTTTGAAAAATGGATTCACGAAAACATTGGTTTGTCACCAGAAAGCTTAGAGCTATTGCAAGGGTAATTCATGATTACCCAAAACTTTATAGACTCAACATGTTGGTATCTGATGCCTACAAGCGGTTGCTAGACATCAGAAAGATGCTGGAAGTTGAACAGTACAGGGTGGCATGGTCTTCAAGCTAAAAATATCTTTGTGATGACTAAGCAAAGCGCTGTTTCTAAGCAAATGTGTTAATTTGATTTTTTCTGTTTTCTTGACAACCGCGCTCACACAGGAGTGCCGTTTCTAAGCAATTGTGTTTATTCATGATTTTTGTCTTGAAATAAACAAAGAAAACCCACTCAGTCTCTGCCCGCTTCACTTCTCGTATTCGATCCTCAATTCTTTGCGAGTGTAAGCAGAGAGCCCAATTTTTTTTTTGGTATTCTTTTTTTATTTCCTCTCTGAGAGTTCCAGTCTCTTCCTCATCTTTCTCTGGAGAATTTTGTGAATTATTTTTTCTGAGTTCTTTTTTCAATGAACGATATTGATCAATTTCGCTCAGTATTGAAGCGAATTCGGCATCTGTTATTGAAGAGTCTTTCCAGGCCTTTGACACGAGTCTGCGGATTGTTCGTTGCTTCGCTTCAGCAAGAGACTTTTTTCTCATGTTTTTCAGTCTTATTCACGAGAGATTTGTTCGCGAGAGTCGTCATGGCAGACGCGAAAGCAAGCAAACCCACAATGCTTGTCAAAGGCACAGAAATTATAATTCCCAAGCCGCTCAAAGCACCTGCGAAACCACCTATCGACAAAAAAGCTGCCGTTATGGATTTGACTGACGATGTTATGCGGCACACAGCTTTTATTCTCTTGTATTTTTTTGCGACTTGTTGGTGATGTGAAATCTCAATTTCAATTTCGTTCTGGCAATCACAAATCTTTTTCAACCTGAAATCAGAGCCTGAATTTGGAAGAGAAGGATAAAGCCGTGGTGCACTTGGTAAAATATTTTCAGCAGGCATTTTTTATAATTAGATTATCTCAAACTCAAATCTCATTGGCATTCCATTAAAATCAATTATTTTGTCATTTTCATCAGTCACAGAAATCTTCATTGATATGATGTCATTCCTTGGAGATATTTTTCGCGGTGATAGAGTTTCAGAAAAATACTTCACCCTCTCAGAGGGTTCTCCTGCAATGTCAAAACACACAAGAACTTGTGACGGCTTTCCATTGAAAAGGTTTTCATTCTCATCCAAAAGATCACAGCGGACAAGGTAGTTATTAAATGATGAAAAAGTTTTGACAAAATTGAGTTTTTGCTAACACCCTTTAATTCCAAGAAGATCAGCCAGATCATTATCAAGAAGAATCTTTTTGTTTTGAGGATTTTTAAATTTCCAAACTTGCCCTTGAAGTATTCAGTCGAACTTTGACTCCTTCATTTTTCAATCTATCCTCAAGAGCTTTGCCAAGGCTTTTCAGTGAATAATTTCCTTCAGGAATTGTTTTTACAGATAAATTGTCCTGAGCATCAAATATAGAGATATCTCCAGAGCGACTCAAGTTATGCCGTGAGTTGTAAAGAGAACTGCTCACCAGCCTTATATGCTCACCAAGATTGAAAAGAGGTTCTTTGAAGAGAGCTGTGAAATCATTTGAAACTTCAATAATTGTCAACAAAACCATTTTGATTTAAAAAAACAAATCAAAATGTTCATTTCGTGGTTAAGATCAGATGAAGCAAAAAGAATTGCTGAGAAAAAAAGAACAAAAGCCTGGAATGATTTCCAAGCACAATATCCGAAGGCAGATTTGAGCAAGTTCAAAGTGCAGGTAACATTCTTTAGCAAAAAACAGAGAAAAGCAGAAGTTTACTTAAATTGAGCTGATGGTGTTCAAACTAGCGTCTCAGGATCAATCAGAAAAGACTGGGATGATGAAATGAAGCGTGCGCTTGGAATAGCAGGATTTCCCATCGAGCTCACTTTGAATCCTTCTGCAATTAAGTAGGTTCCAGCAGTTCCATTTCATGAGACTTCGAAAAGTCACTTGAATGAAGAGATAAAGATATTTGTCACCCCAAATCAATATTTCGAAGCAAAATTCAGAGAAATATTCACAAGAATGAAAATTCAGCACAGCTCAGGCGCAGAATCAAAGAGATGGCTTGCAGGGCCGAATATGAACTACTGGCCTCAACAACTCAACTTTGCTGTGTGGTGCGCTACCTCAGGCTGTGGAATCTCTCGTGAACTGCTTG